ATGGACCATTCCCCAATTAACCAAAATTTTGAACTCAACAAGTCTAGACAAAAATTTCACCACAGCTTGAAAGAGCATCACAAAATTAGTAATATTCCAAAGTTTCGTTGCAAAATGTTGTAAAATGCGGATAATATAGCCTTGCGAAGTTTGCAATTTTCAGTCATTTTAGATTACAAATAGGAAATGGTTACCACTTCTGTGCGTAATACAAAATGACTGAAAATTACAAACTTCGCAAGGCTATATTATCCGCATTTTACAACATTTTGCAACGAAACTTTTGGTATATTACTAATTTTGTGATGCTCTTTCAAGCTGCGATGAAATTTTTGTTTAGGCTAGTTAAGATCAAAATTTTGGAAAAGTGGTAACCATTTCCCGTTTGTAATCTAAAATGACTGAAAATTGCAAATTTCACAAGGCTATATTATCCGCACTTTACAACATTTCGCAACGAAACTTTGGAATATTACTAATTTGGTGATGCTCTTTCATGCTATGATGGAATTTTGTCTAGACTTGTTGAGATCAAAATTTTGGTTAATTGGGGGAATGTTCCATTGATATGTTCACACACAAGTTGCCAACACCCGAGAAAACATTAGTACAAATTTCCAATTAACATGCGTTGAAATCAGATTTTATTGCAAGTTGCCGCAATTTTGGTGCTCGTATTACTTTAATACCTTAATGCGTCATATTTTCTCATTTTACTCTGGCTGACGCAAGATGATTTTACTCGTCAAGGGGAGAGCACCGATGCTCAATGGCTAATAATATTGATAATAATATACATGAAAAATTTCTCAATTCTGGTATATTGGCTGAGAGCAGTGCATTTTTTTTTCAAAATACAGTGCAAAAAAAGAAACACAGTGCAAATTTCTTAATTTTCTAAATTTTCCTAATTTTTCAAAGTTCTTAATTTTCTTAATTTCTTCATTTCTAAATGTGACTTATATACGTATGTGACTGCATAATTTTTTCATGTATATTATTATGTACTATTTAAAAAACGAGCAGGAGTGTTTTTAATTATTAGGTTTAAAAACACGACCTGCGAGTTTTTTAAATGGCTTCAAAAACGTTTGCATAATAAGTCAAATCTTTATATAAAAATCTTTATATAAAACTCTTTATATAAAAATCTTTATATAAAAATCTTTATATAGTTTGCATAACTGACAATGGTCTTTTGTTAAAGTGTTCTTTAGCTGGTATAAAGACGTATGCACGTGACTAATTTCTTACTCAAGATTGGATAATTGCTTCATGAATTATTAAATTGAATAATGAATAATAGTATGCATGGTTTCTCGTGCGATTTGAAAAAAACATACACTCGTGAGTTTTTCAAAGACTTCAATTTTGATAGTCTTTGAAAAACTTACTTGTGCACGTTTTTCGAAACCATACTATTACCTATACTAATATTGATATTTTTCCGGACAACATCTTTGTCAATCTTATTTTGTGTTTAACCACCATTGTTCATTCAATTTCCCCCCTTAAAGGGAAATGGCAATATATTTTTTTATTTTCTTGTTTGAAAGAACATTTAAAACCATATATAAAACTCTTTTACCGTTTTTAAATATCTTGCTTACTTCTACAAATATTTTAATCGAAAGAAATGAAATGTCCGCCATCTTGGATTTTTGTAGATATGCATGTTACGTCACAACAGGGGTCATGCAATATTTTTATCTAGACAACCACTAATCATTTTGCACTCAAAATTATACTCCGTATCCCCTTGGAAATATCAAGATCACTTGAAACCTTTAAAACATCTACCAATCAATATTTGGTCAACAACGAATACTTTTATATGGTTAATCCCTGTTGTGACGTCACCAAAACTACCGTTAATGAGATAAAATAATTATCCAAGATGGCTGACATCTCATTACTTCAAGTGAAAATATTTCAAGAACTAAGCAAGACATGAAGAATCGGTAAAAGAAGTTATTAAATAGTTTCAAAAGTTCTTTCAAATGAGAAAATAAAAAAATATATTGCCATTTCCCTTTAATTTTTTCGTAAATTTCTACACATTAATTTTCATCATGCGGTGTGCTCCCAAGTTACTTACACTTCAGCGTCTTTCAAAGGATGCTCTTCTCCCATCTCAATTGAGTCGTTCACTGCGCGTTCCTTTTCTCTCTCACCCACTATATATAAAGATAGATATCGAGTGTTTAGTCATATCAATAATAGAATAGACTGCGTGGTTGAGCCCACATTTCTCAGGTCAAGCTGTGAACAACTTGTAACAAGCTTGATGGCATTATCAGACTTGTTACAAGGTTGTTCTAACAAGTCTGATACAGTCCGATGATATAACAAGAATGTTACAAGGTTGACGACACAAGGTTGTAACATTCTTGTTATATCATGACTGTATTGGACTTGTTGGAACAACCTTGCTACAAGCCCGATAATATCAACAAGCTGTGAACAACTTGTAACAAGCTTGATGGCATTATCAGACTTGTTACAAGGTTGTTCTAACAAGTCTGATACAGTCCGATGATATAACAAGAATGTTACAAGGTTGACGACACAAGGTTGTAACATTCTTGTTATATCATGACTGTATTGGACTTGTTGGAACAACCTTGCTACAAGCCCGATAATATCAACAAGCTGTGAACAACTTGTAACAAGCTTGATGGCATTATCAGACTTGTTACAAGGTTGTTCTAACAAGTCTGATACAGTCCGATGATATAACAAGAATGTTACAAGGTTGACGACACAAGGTTGTAACATTCTTGTTATATCATGACTGTATTGGACTTGTTGGAACAACCTTGCTACAAGCCCGATAATATCAACAAGCTGTGAACAACTTGTAACAAGCTTGATGGCATTATCAGACTTGTTACAAGGTTGTTCTAACAAGTCTGATACAGTCCGATGATATAACAAGAATCTTACAAGGTTGACGACACAAGGTTGTAACAATATTGTTATATCACGACTGTATCGGATTTGTTGGAACAACCTTGCTACAAGTCCGATAATATCGACAAGGTTGTTACAAGTTGTTAACAGCTTGATCGAAACTTGTTGACAACTTGGGACAAGCAGTGCGAACACAACTTGTTGACGGCTTGTTGGCAGACTTGCTACAAGATGTGAGATTTTTGCTCTCATCTCCATTTGACTTGGGGTTAACCAGATACTGGCCAAGAATATTAGCCTGGGCAAGAATATTTAGACATTCTCTCATTCACAATTCTCAGTGGAGAGTCCGACCTCGCAAGCAAGTCCCTTGCTCAACCGCGTTCCCAGACTCTTCCCTGGCCCTTGCTTACGAGATTGTGGAGAGCCATAGTGCTTTGTCAAAAATTCAAACCTTTGTATGTTCGTTTAGGTTTCCTTCGGATGAACAACAAGAGCAGAAGCAGAAGAAGGAGTAATAATATGATGCCAATGATAATGTAGAACCAATATTGACGGTATACGGGCGTGTCTTCTGATACTACGACAGATACTGGAAAAAAGACAGATTGTATATAGGTATGTGGATATTTTTTGGTACTTTAAGTTAAATAGAGTAAAATTAGTTATGTACTATTTAAAAAACGAGCAGGAGTGTACGTTTTATTAGATTTAAAGCCACGAGCGCGCAGCGCGAGTGGCTTTAGACGTAATAAAACACGACCTGCGAGTTTTTTAAATGGCTTCAAAAACGTTTGCATAATAAGTCAAATCTTTATATAAAAATCTTTATATAAAAATCTTTATATAGTTTGCATAACAATGGTCTTTTGTTAAAGTGTTCTTTAGCTGGTATAAAGATGTATGCACGTGACTAATTTCTTACGCAAGATTGGATAATTGCTTCATGAATTATTAATGAGTTTTTGAACGTACTTTAACTAATCCTGGTTGATAACAACAACAACAACAATAGCAAAACTGTAACAACATTCGACAACGACAACAACATTCGACAACATTCAACGACATTCAACAACAACGGCAACAACGACATTTAACAACAACAACAACAACAACAACAACAACAACAACAACAACAACAGCAGCAACAACGGCAAGACAACAACAACAGCAACAACGGCAAGACAACAACAACAACGGCAAAACAACAGCAACAACAACAACAACAACAACGACAACAGCAACAGCAACAACGGCAAGACAACAACAACAACAACAACAACAACAACAACAACAACAACAACAACAACGCTCGACGGCGACGACGACGACGACAACAACGCCAAGACAACAACAACAACAACGACAACAACGACAACATCGGCAAGACAACGACAAGGCAACAACAACAACGGCAAGACAACAACAACGGCAAGACAACAACAATGGCAAGACAACGACAAGGCAACAACAACAACG